CCTCACATGTTATTCGCCGTTTTTGTGTAACATCGAATTATTTCATACACCGAGCGCCTCATGTGCAACAAACAATTTAGAAAGTTTTGATTACGCGCTTTTTCCTTTGAGTTTTTCGCTGGATTCTTGATTGAATTTTTAATGGCTGAGAATCTTACACTGTATTAGCTGTTTAATACACACAGACGAAAAAGTAATTTCGGGGTAGGTAATACCATAATTAAAGAGTAAAATAATTGTGTATCCTACATTATTGTATATGTTCTACAAAATTAGAAAGCGATACTGCAAAAAGAAGTTTTATACAGGGCTCAGCTTATGTAAACCTAAACTATAAATCAGATGAGCCAATATTGTAAGACGCACATAACAGATTGTGCATCATTTTTAGTCAGCAGAGACACAGTTTACCAACTACTGTGTGTAATCAACAGAGGCGTATTAAAAAATTGCATAGTTTTGAAACCATTTTCAATAAAATTTAGAATAAATGGAAATGGTGAAATTAATCGATGTACTGTTTGCGTCAACAAATATTTAATAATAACCGTGTGCCGCTCTATGCTCATGATACACAATGCTACTGACGGCCATAAAAACACGTGTCATACACTCGACCAAGGAAAGCGCCAAAGTCACTCACAAACCAACAAACGACAATGAAATGCACGTGCAATATTCCTCAGCACAAAAACCTGGTTGTTCACTGCACGCCAAGCCGACAAGGCAGGCATTAGAGTGCCGTTAGATACGTATAGAATAAATTGATCGATGCGACGCTTCGGATCAGAAGCAGACATGTTATTGTACAATGACGCGGATTGTAGGGCTACTAAAATGTGGAATAGTTGATGATTTGCAACCATAAATAAAAATAGCATCTATTAAAAACTTCGACAATTTTAGATATGCACCTGTGATCTAGGTAAATGATGAATGGTCATTTTCGTTTTTGAAATGAGTGCGATTCTGTTAGGAATCAAACTCTACGACAATAGGGTTACGTGTTTGTATGGAAGATGTTTTATTTAAGGGCCTTTGGAACATATTTAATCAATATTTTTAAAGAAATATGGTGTATTCTAGTAGAATACGGTGACTTTACATGAATAGTGAAATGACAGACATGTAAAGATGTTTCGCTAATTGAACATGTAAGAAATTTGAAAGAAATATGACAAAATTATACAAATGTCGTATTTCGCTGAAGTCAGTAGTTCTCAACAAGTTTTTTATTTAAAAAAATATACATAATTTTACCCTTTTTATTACTATTTTTGTCAAAAAACTTGTTACTTACATATATACATATTTGAGGTTCACCTTGTACACCCAGTGGTTAAATTCCCACGTAATGCGCAAAACGGAACAGGAAATGCGCTTTACGCCTCGCTATAATTCCCGTATTTTTTAGGAATTCCTCCACCGCACTGGCACACAGTTGCGTGCGAATAATCGTGAACGCCAAGGTATAAATAATTCTGTGGCAGTCGCGAGAATATTTCATTTTATTTTTGTCGCAGACAAATCTAAGCACTAATCAAATCGGACATTTTGTGGATGTAATGGAAATCTTAACGTCGACTTCGAAATAGAAATTCCCGCGTCCAATTAGGAGGGTTTCGCGGTAATGCGTACGGGAGGGTGTAATTAGATTTTTCACTTCACTTTTGAACGCGAAACTAGCTTTTATATTTATTTGACGCTAACATATTGCTCTCTAACTGTTTTCGCGAGTTCTAGTAGAATCATGACTTAACAGTTTTTGGATACAGCTAGTTAAAGAAATACTTATTTCCAGAAAGTCAAACTCCGTAATTTTCCCTTAATTCTTTTTAAACTGAATTATATGTTATAAGGTTCTGTAAGTATTTCAACAAATAACAAGAGACTGAGACTCCTCCAAACAACTTTTGGACCTTTTGTAGATATATTAGTGAATGCCTTCATTTTAAATGTGACAAATTAACCCTTTAGTAGGGTTTAACACTTCTGGATTCGACATTACATCAGTATCATTCACTGCATATAAGCCCACTTTAAAACTGATACTATTTAAACCAAAATATTTGATTTAATAGAATAGACATGGATCCAAACATAGTTCCCCGAGGTACGCCATATGAACTGTTTGGTTCTTTTGAAGATTTAACGCCTAATCACGCGTCACTTAGTCAAATGAGTTTGCAGTAATGTCATTTTTTGTTAGATCTTTAACAGGACTTAGCATTTCTTGTTTCGAATATTACATTGCGTTCTTCACCGCATACAGGGTGATTCAGTCATAATGTCATTAATTTTAACCACGTATTCGGAAGGCTTAATAAAGACAGAAAATCGGAAAAAAATTTTTTTTACTCGACTTTTAAAAATGGAGGAAATCAACCCATAACTCCCGCTAAGAGAGCGGCCCTGTCAGATGCCCGGATGCTTGGAAAATTTTGTAACGTAATGTCACGAACAAATCGTCAGCTGAAGCTAACAGCGTTGCCAAGTTCAGATCATAATCTGTGGTTCACATTTAATTAATCCGCTTTAGTATACGGATACATATGTACAAAACCAATAAAATGCAAGTAAATAAAGATCATGCTGCATTTTATTATAACTAATTTTAGTAATTGTATTAACTTAGCGCAAAATGTTTTAACAAGCCTGACTTCTCGAAGTCAACTTTCGTTAAAAGAACATAAATAAAGCAGAGGGTTGAAGATACACCGCATTTTATCAAATAAAAAAAGTCGGCACACTAAATACCCGAATCTACAAAATACACTACACACGGTTACAAAACCATTACCTAACAATTTAAAGCTTTTATTCAAATCTACCACCATCCATATCTCCCGCATTTTTCCCGCAAAGGAGTTAACATTACACATTTTTAAAAAGTTCAAGCTTTAGAAGCAGCTGATTTCCCCGTTGAATTTTGCAATTGGTTCCTAAATCGAAGTGCAGCAGAACTTTATTAACAAAGTGCTCTGGACGGATGAATGCTGTTTTACTCGTACTGGCATTTTAAATAGGTAAAAAACATAAGTATTGCTTTCTCAAAAACAATAAGTACCTACCTAGGTTACTCCAAAGTTTAGATTTACACTAAAGTTTACATTTATTATGTAAATTTTGGTTATACGCAACTAGATATTGAATAATAAATTGAAAAACTAAAACTGTGTATTATTTAACATAATAAATTATAAAACGTGAAAACGTTAATAATATTAAAAATGATAAATTGTAATAACCGTACATTCGAAAACAATCATCCCTATTCAATACATTCAATTTGATGACACGATTTTCCTTTGATAAAAGACCGACAACTTTTTGCTCTACTTTGCAAGGAATACGATCCTACTACAGTTCGTATTAGTCTAGGAGCCAGATAAAGTTCCGTGTACTAGCTATAAAAATAAACTTTTTACAGCCATTTAAACATTTAATTTATTGATAACAATTAAACTGACCACTTTCAGACTTTGCGACCAAGTTTTTTGGATTCAGGAGGTCAAAATACTTTCGAATAAGTTGTTTGCAGCCATGGCAATCTGATTGGCAACGGAACCCTGTGTGGCTCCTAGATTAAAGTGCACGTGCAAATTAGGAGGTTAATGACCTCGACACAGGTTAGCCTAGGTCGGAAACACGTACTGAGTTTGTCTCCGTCCGATTGTATTTTTATCTTCTATTACTTACAGTCAATATTTAAACACCTACTACATACATTTCACCCTCTCTTTATAATTTATCTAGTGAGTGTTGGTTTTTTATGTCATGATTTCTGTAATGAAATTGAAATGGTTATGAAATGAAATTTAAATTATTTGAACTCTTTGAGTTTTGTAACTTCAATATTAAATTTTACTTTAAGTGAAACAGACCTAATTTCTTTGCAGCCATAATAGTCACATCTGGTCAGATGAAAACCCGCACACTACTCGTAGGTTTAGTTTTCAGAGGAGATTGGGTGTCAATGTATGGACAGGAGTATATGGCGATCGTTTAATTGGGCCGCATTTTCTACCTGAACATCTGAATGGGCCGCGTTACTTTTTTTTACAATTTTTAGTAGAAGGCTTACAGCAAATTAAAAAATTATCACTATGATGTTAAAAAAAACTGATTTTTGGCAAGGCATGCTCAGACCTCCTAGAGGTTCTTGCTGGGCAACAATAACAACTTAATATGTTGATTGCATAATTATAAAAAATAATTTATAGCATTTTAAATTATTATTGGTTGACGTGAGCAAACCGTTTATTTATTGTCTTTATATAAGCGAAAATATATAAATATGGCAACATTGCATCTAGGGCGTCTTGTTCATATCGTAGCCGGCTGACGTCAGCCGGTCAGTAACAGCCTGAAAAGGGGGTTAAATAATGATTTGAAAATATTTTTTTTTTCAGCTTAAATATGCATTTAATTTTTTTTTAATCACGCCATCGAATTATACTCATTTTTCTCTATCTACTCTTAAAATTAATGACATTATGACTGAATCACCCTGTATACACTCACGAATTGAATAAAATGATTGTATGAAAGGTTAAAATCTGACTCAATCTACACACGCTGAATAGACAGATCATTCTCTGAGGTAGCCCATTTTTGAGTTAAGTGTTTGATTCTTAAATTTCGAACACCAAATTAGGCGCCACATGGGTCAACGACTAAGGCACAAATAGTGAAGTAAGTTTTCATTAATTCATATCTTCAATGGAGTTTAAAACATTTAGCTTCCAAGATACATGGATATACTTGCATTTTCCACAACATATACTCCCAATTTAAAACTGACACTAATGAAATAAAAATATTTCATTGAAGGATTTTCAAATCTGACTTAAACTATATAAATTGAATAGCGATGGGTCCAAACACTGTTTCCTGTGGAACGCCATATGGAATAATCGGTTTATAAATTTCGAAAATTTAATACCAAATAAGGTGCAATAACTACCTTCGGATGAAAGGAAAAATTAAAATGTACCCACCTGCCTCGTGATTGGCGTCGTTTCAATCCCTGCTCCGACGAGGCCGCCCCACCTTGCCCTTGCGCACCGTGGGCGTCGCCGCCGAGCTCTTCAGGAGTTTGTGCCAGTCCTGCTCGCACACCAGACTGCCGGCCAACATGTAGTACCTGTCCCCTGGTACCAGCGGTTGCAAGCACTTGCTGCACATGAAGCACTTGAGGTGGAACACGTGCGGCGGCGCGCCCGGCTGCTGCGGCGACGGTCCGCCGCTCCTCATCACAAACTCGCTGGCCGGGATGGTCTGCCCGCACGCCGAGCAGGCGCCCGTGTTGCCAAATAACCTGCGGGACCATTAGGAAGAGGGTAACCATTAAATCTCTATTGTCTCCACATCGTAAACGTAAAATTATCAAATGTAATAATAGTGATATGCCCACCCTTCTCACACATCATACATTTTAAAATATCAGTTGTGACCATAATAATAGTAATATGCCGGCTTTGCTCTCACATAAGTGTCGGATTTTACCTAAAATTTCATTCATTCGTCGTTGTATCTGATTGATTTACAAATAATTCTGCAGCAGTGTATATTATCGGAAATTAGAGCTGTCAGTTTTGTCATTTTTATGGAAAAAAATCAGAACAGGAAATATTACAATTAAATTTTGAATAAAAGAAATATGCAAAACATCAAGATAAAAAAGAATGGAATCATACAAAATAATATAGCAGAATGCAAACAATTGTATTTCTTTATCCAAATTCAATTATTATTTCACTATTTAATTGATAAGTAATATAATATATAATATAAATTGACATCATGAGTATATTTTTTAATTAGAAATTCTATAATTAAAACCACATTAGAAACTGTAATTTTGACATACATCTAACAAAAAAATGTAGTAAAATAAAACAGACATAATTATATTGTACTAACACTTTTATAGTATCAAGAGGAAGTGTAGACATATCATTAGTATTGAAATTAGAATAAAACAACGATTTTGGTGGAAAGGATAAGGTGTAATATACAAGTAGATCTCAAATGTTTTTTTTTAATACACAGCAGTTTTTTGGGTCAGAGCAAGCAACTCGACGTTCTTTTTTTTACTTGAATTTCTTAACTTTGGGTCTAGTTTAGATACAAAATTTATAAATATATTAAAAAATGGAGTACAATATACCCCACTTCATGTCACTAAGAAGGTTGTAATAAATTATTTACAGATTTAGAAAACAAAAATTTTGGAGTTGCTCTGTTATCAGGACTATGTAGCTGGCCGACTGTACTGTGTTTATTAAATAGTTTTTCACTTCACAAATACTTACTGTACAGTATTACTGTGGTTTTCACAGTGCTTTTATTACCGTGGTTTATTATTTACGTCATCTTACAAGTGTTTCAAGTGGCCTGGGTGTATAACAGTGTAAAATTAATTGATACTATTTTAATTTATGTGTAAAATGCTGCTACCTCTACTGCATCATTCAACAAGAGCTTGGAAGGGGAAATTTGCTACCTAATCGTGGAAGATATGGAAGATATTGTGTGGGTACATACTGTTACAGTAGAGAAACAAATTTTAAATATCGTGGAAGAAAATTCCCGTATAAATACAAGCAAGGCTTCAATTCAAAATATGATTATGCAGGGTGTTANGGCGGTTTGGACCGACGGACGCCCGAGACGCCGGGCGTCGGGACGCCCGCTTGTGGCCTTCGGTAGTGCGCGATCGCGGGTCGCTCGGCCCCGATCGGTAGGTAGGTACAAGCGAGTTATGGAACCTGAGACTGGGGTAAGGTAAAATAAAATAAATATTAGACAATTAATTCCGCTGGATCATAATTATTAACATATATCCGGCGCTTGATTATTTATAATTAATGTAAAGATAGCAGAATAATATTTTAAGATTTGAAAATAGGTATTTATTCTTAATAATTGCATACTTACCTACGTTATGTGGAACTATATATACGTTGACAATTATTTTTAGATAATTGATTGTCAAAGTATGGTCATATTCCTGTTTACCAAGATTTCAGGTAACTATCTAGCTCACCTTCATGAAAATGTAAAATTTCTTCAAAAAAACTGCATAGAATCGATAATTATACTGTTACAGTAGAGAAACAAATTTTAAATATTGTGGAAGAAAATTCCCGTATAAGTACAAGCAAGGCTTCAATTCAAAATATGATTATACAGGGTGTTAATTAAGTATGTACCTACAATAGATTCAACAGACGATTATTTGGGTTATTTGAGTAATTTTAAAGGCAAATAGTTCATATAAACATTGATCCGTAGATGCTTCGTTTTGAAGAAACTTTTGTAAAAAAATTGCAATTTTGTAAATATCTTAAATACCCTTTACCCAATTTTGTTGTAATTTGGCTGTGTTATTTGTAGTATTAAGGGGCTAATTTAACCCTAACTTGATTAGATTTATTAAGTCCAGTGGTGTCCCGAGCGGTACCTTAACTTTTTTGACAAAAAAAATGTAAGCTACTGACTTATTTGTAATTTTTATATTTGTTTGGATTAAGCAACTAAAAATACGACCTTTTTGTCTTTCGGATGTTGATTAATTTTTGGAGAAACAAAAAAAATAAAATCCACTTAATTGCATATCCCTGGACCACACAAGAAACATGGGGAAAAAATAGGAAATAATCATAAAAATATTCGTTAACGTAACGAGACGCCACTGGACTTAATAAATCTAATAAAGTTAGGGTTGAATTAGCACTACAAATAACACTGCCAAATTACAACAAAATTGGGTATTTAAGATATTTACGAAATAGCATTTTTTTTACAAATGTTTAACACCCTGTATCTTCAAAACGAAGCATTTGCGCATCAATTTTATATGAACTGTTTATCTTAAATCACTCATATAACCCTCTGTTGAATTTATTGTACATACTTAATTAACACCCTGTATATAAGAAAGTGAAATAAGTGATCCAAAAGTAATTTTTATATAAGAAAAAAACAACGTATTATTAGCAAATTTCAAATTTTCAAAGTAAAGAATTCACTGATTACAACAGTAATAGTAATTATTAACAACAATAAAAACAGTAAATGAACTTACTAAAATAAAAGAATAGTGATAAAACTCTTTATATATATATANTATTATTTACGTCATCTTACAAGTGTTTCAAGTGGCCTGGGTGTATAACAGTGTAAAATTAATTGATACTATTTTAATTTATGTGTAAAATGCTGCTACCTCTACTGCATCATTCAACAAGAGCTTGGAAGGGGAAATTTGCTACCTAATCGTGGAAGATATGGAAGATATTGTGTGGGTACATACTGTTACAGTAGAGAAACAAATTTTAAATATCGTGGAAGAAAATTCCCGTATAAATACAAGCAAGGCTTCAATTCAAAATATGATTATGCAGGGTGTTAATTAAGTATGTACAATAAATTCAACAGACGGTTATTTGAGTGATTTTAAGACAAAAAGTTCATGTAAACATTGATCCGTAGATACCTCGTTGTAAAGATATAGGGTGTTAAACTTTTGTAAAAAAATTGCAATTTCGTAAATATCTTAAATACCCTTTACCCAATTTTGTTGTAATTTGGCAGTGTTATTTGTAGTGTTAAGGGGCTAATTTAACCCTAACTTGATCAGATTTATTAAGTCCAGAGGCGTCTCGAGCGGTGCATTAACGAATATTTTTGATAAAAAAAATGTAAGCTACTGACTTTTTTGTAATTTTGCATCTGCGCACCAATTTTATATGAACTGTTTATTTTAAATCACTCAAATAATCGTCTGTTGAATTTATTGTACATACTTAATCAACACCCTGTATATAAGAAAGTAAAATAAGTGATCCAAAAGTAATTTTTAATATAAGGAAAAAACAACGTATTTATTAGCAAATTTCAAATTTTCAAAGTAAAGAATTCACTGATTACAACAGTAATAGGAATTATTAACAACAGTAGAAACAGTAACTGAACTTACTAAAATAAAACAATAGTGATAAAACTCTTCTTATATTGTTAAATCTTTTTTTTGTACGTAAACTTTTTGTACATGCCAGTTGCGTTAGTTCAGGTAATATAGTCTACCAAAATCCAGACGCGTTCTTTTTATTTTTTTTGCACTGTGATATTTGTATGGATCTATTATACGGGGTCATTCCCATAACCATAACAATAGTCTTATCTTTTTCTATCTAGGAAAAAATGGTAAAAATGAAAGTTTTAAGAAACTCTTACGATTTCAAAGCAATATATAAAACAATTCACTGTTGTATTTCGAAGTTATAACCCATATTATTGGTTTTTTAATGGAGCACCCTATATATGTGTCATTTCTTGGATAAAGACATATAGTATATACTCCACGCAAGTTTTTCTTAATGCCTTGACTTTATTGAGATCAAATTGGTCCTCTCGATCACAGAACTATCTCTTCATGAGAAAATTGAATTTAAAAAAATGTCATTTGTCTAAAATAGAAATCCGTTCAATAAATTTAATAGCGGACCAGTGAAAAAACTGCGCAAACTGTAAAAGTAAATGCAAGGCGTGGTGCCAAAATCCGGACAAAATTCAATTTGAAATTCCCGCCGCTCTATGCCACATGTAGAGGTCGCGATTGGCGTCGAAATAGCTTAAAGTATGTACTGAACAGGCATAACCTCAAAATAGTCTCAATGTTGAAACCAGATCACTGAGATCATTCGATTCTTCGGATACCGGAAGACACCTGCGACGAAATCTCACTCGAAGAAACACGTTGTCAAAACGCCAGACGTCATTCAATGGGTTCAGGGACTGATTCTTGAGGATCCAAGGCAGTCTATCCGAAAATTGTCTTCAGTTGTCGGTGTGAATGAGAAAACGATGCGCCGAATTGTCGAGAAACAATTTCCGCTATAATTTTTATACAATTAAAGTGATACAAAAGCTTTCTGAAGTCGCCATCCCCAGGACAAAACGAGTTGAACGCTGCAATATGTTCCTTAAGAAACAGTACTGCCGGACGAATCAGGTTTTTTTCATGAAAAAATATTTGATGTCGCTAAAAAAATCAATCGAAGGAATGACTGCTGGCTCGCCTACTACCCCGAAGATGTCCCCATTATTTCCAGAACGAAAATTCCGGCAAATATTCACGTGCTAAGTGTTATGTCCAATGAGAGTGATGTCATGCCTCCACATTTCTTTAACAAAGGGGAAATGTAACAAAAGCAAGATTATTTGCGTGTTCTGGCAAATGTAATAAAGTCGTGGATGGAAACTGTGTCATCTAGAAAGCTGTATATTTTCCTGCAGGACGGTGGGCCCGCCCACACCAGT